GCCGGAGTAGATTAGACTGATAGCATTCAGAGTGGAAAGCTACTAATTGTCACTTGTGCAATGCTCTGATTTTGTTATGCTGCCCTGATGTCCAGAAGAGTGCTGGAAATGGTGGTAGGTCCATCCCCCTCTCTGCCATCTTTCTGAGCTGACATCCACCCTTTTTGCCTTTGTAAGCATGGTTGGCAGTGAAACATCTGATTATGTTGTTGGTCAGATTACTGCTTGAACCTTTGAAAATTCCTCTATATTAGAGTTTAATAATTTCAAATATTATCTGGAAGGGAGAAAAGCAACCTTCCTGCATTAAAGATTCTCGAAAAGTCATCACAGTAATTTGGTTTTGTTTCAGGACACTAATATCTACATGGCAGGAACTGAAGAAGGTTATATTCATAAATGCTCTTGTTCTTATAATGAGCAGTACCTGGAGACCTACAGAGGACACAAAGTAAGAATAGTTAAACAAAACTGATAAAACAAGCCACATTACTCTCTTTTTCTCTCTCTGTTAAAATACCTCTACTTGAGGGCGTTACAGCAGTTCAGATGCAACTCCAGACTTCCAAACTCATGCTGTGGGCTAGTTTGGGAAGTGACTCAACTTTTTTTCTGATTCTGCATCAGTTTTCCTAAAACCAGAGCAAAGCTGTTGTTTTCTCTTTGCGGAGCTGCAGTTCTGAAGAGCTTACAGGCAGCTGCCCCCTCCTCTGCTTTGGGGCTCAAGATAATCTTTCTTGGTACCTGTGTGTAAGCTTGTTTTCCTCTATCCCTCCCTCATTCTAACTACATCAGAAATATGCAGTCCTGATTTCAGCTATTTGGGAATGAGCTTCAATTTGCAAATGCTGCTGCTATTGTTTCATAAAAATGAGAGGTTTTTAAGACAGGAGGAATGGTATCTTTGCAGTCAGCTTTGCACTCAACAAGCTTCCCTTCATTTTTTTCTTTTCTTTTCTTTTCTTTTCTTTTCTTTTCTTTTTTTTTTTTTGCAAATGACCAGACTAACATATGCAACATATATTGCAAACATATAATGTATGTTATTTTCCTTTTGTGTGGAATAGAACTGAGGGGATTTTTGGATCTTAGGAGTGGTACTGACAGAATGACATTCTTTGAACTCTCTTGCTCACCTGGGGAAAGCACCAATTGGCTCATGGTGTCTCTTGCATTTCCACCCACCCACTGTCCACCATTTATTTTCTATAGTAATTTTGTATGGCCACACAGGTCTTCACTGGGGTGGGAAGAAAAGGAAGTAGAGAATAGAAAGACCATCTAGCTAGCCAGTGGAGGAGCATAAAAGCTATTACCTAAGCCAACACTTGCTCCACATCATCATAATTTCCTTACTGCATTTATTTTTGCAGTAAGGAACAAAAAAGGTGATTGGACTGGGTACAGTAGAGAGTGGCACAAGCAACTCTCAGTGCACCTAGAAGTCAGGTGGATAGTGATACGGTGCTATGATGGATTGGCTTCAAGAAAGACTATGTAAATCCTAGAGCTATAAGGAGGGACGGAGTGGGTGTTCCCATCAATGGAAAACTGCTCACCCCACAGCTTCCAAGGGAGTGCTACAAAACTCTCTCTGCAGCAACTGAGCCAAAAGTTAATCTGCTTCCTTTGCTAAGACTGCACAGTATCATGAGGACTCAAAACGTAAAAGAATCCAATTATGTCTTTATTCAGCATTTCCTCTGGATTATGATCAATATAGTTAACCTGGTTAAAAGTATGCCATTCAGCATATGCTGTTCTGAATTCAATTTCTTCTAAAATCTTTTTGAGCTTTGCTTCAGTGCTAGAGCAGCAGTATACTTCTGCATAAATATTTCTGTACCATTCCTGATCTTTGCTGCCCTATTCATGAATATATCTAAATATGTTTATTTCAAAATCTTACTAACTTTGCATTTAAAATGCTACATTTCTCTCACTTCTCATTAAGGGCCCTGTGTATAAGATCACATGGAATCCTTTCAGTACAGAAGTGTTTCTAAGTTGTTCTGCAGACTGGACTATCATACTGTGGCGCCAGGATTCAGTTCGCCCAGTTTTGATGTTTAGTTCCACTACCAATGTTATTTATGATATAATGTGGTCTCCCAGTTCCGCCTATGTGTTCGCAGCAGTGAATGAAACTAGGGTAGAAATTTGGGACCTAAGTGTGAGCACGTAAGTAACAGCATTTCTTAAAAATGATTTCATACCAACACTAAGCAATAAAAGATCATATACTGTATTTCTATTGTCCTCTGGCTATAACTGGACAACACAACTATGTTGCCAACATGTTAATAAATTTATCCAGCACATTATTCATGTTTCTGACCTTGAAGAACTGATCTGCATCCCCCCTTCCATTGTGTGTCTGTCTTTTTAGATAGCCATGCTTTTTAATTAACATGAGCCACTTTGCAAGACAATTGTCTGAAAAATAGGATAAAATGTAACATAATTAAAATAATACATGGAAATTATTTTGAGGAAACAATAAGCAAATAATATTAAACAATAATCAGATAAATAATGCCTTGCAATGGAATATTCCAACAACTCTCCAGTTCCAATTGCATGTCTTGTACTATTTATAGGTTGGATCCCCTGATTGTGAATCCTGCTACTGGCAATTTGAAATTCACAACTGTACTTTTTGCTAAAAATGCAGATTGCCTTCTGATTGGGGACAGTGATGGACTAGTCACTGTTTATGCACTGAGAAACATGACTGTCTCAGACAGAAAAAAGGTATGTTTTGCGGCATGAAAAGTTGTTGTGCCCGCGCCTGGTGCAAGCAACTAAGCCTCCTGTTCCTTGGTAGTAATTTATTATTTTGTACCTACTGAGCTTGTGGTTGCAATATTGACCTATAATTGCATCATCCTTCAGTCAGGACTGTATTTGCTGTAGATGCTAAAGCAGTGGGATGGAACCATCCAGGAGGAAGAGCAGAACAGGTGCTTTCTTAAGGCATTGTTTCTGCCTATAAATTGAAGACAAGTTATTAAAGCACCAATACTAGGATTACCTAATGATGAATGATGTTGCTTGAGCTCAGTAATATTGTCTCAAGAGAAAATCAGTCAGTCAGTCAGTAGAAGGTGATATGCAAGGTAATGAGATTCAGCTGCTGAATTCAGTGACGTTACAAGTGATACCATAAATAGTTGTTTTAGTCTGGGAGTGACAGCTGTGATGCACTGTAAATAGAAGATGCAAGTTCTATTTCATACAGTATTTTCAATTTGTTTACAAAATGGGGAATACGAAAAAAAAGTTTAAGCACTGTGTATAGAATTATAGCCTAAAAATATTACTGCTGGCCCTGAATGCTGGTATAACTGGAACTGGAATTTATAGATTTTATCCATGGTTGGAGGGACTTGTGTTTTTTCTTTTTTATTATTGTGAGCCGCCCAAAGTCACCTGTTGGGGGAGATGGGTGGCATACAAGTTTGATAATAAATAAAAAATAAATAAAATACCTGTGTAACATTTGAAATGGCCTGCAAGCATATGGTTTACAATAAATTTCATTTTAAGCTCTCTTTTACTAAGATTGTAATTTTTAGGTTTGGGCTTTGCATCTCTGGATCCATGTTTTCAACTTGGAAATGTTTTATTGTTGGCAATCAAAAGGTGGTTTTGGATATAACAGAAGTAGAGAAAGACTAGTATATACAGGTAATCCTCAACTTACAACCACAATTGGGACTGGAATTTCCATCACTAAGCGATGTGGCTGTAAAGCTAAATATTACATGACTGCATTGCTTAGTGACGGCAATCCCAGCATTCCTCATTGCCTTTGTTAAGTGAATTCCACCTGTTGTTAGCCAAGGACCCACCCCAATCCAAGCCATTCCGGGGTTGATCCCTCCCAGCCTTGAGCCTCAGTAAGATAAAGGACTGCCAAGCACCCTGCAATAATGTGATTGTCATTTGCAACCTTCCCTGCTGGCTTCCCATAAGCAAAGTCAATGAGGAAACTGGCATGGGAGGTCACAAGTTGCTCAGGTAAGTCTCCCCCACCTACCCTAGCCCTTCGCTCACATGCATTGCACCCTCCTTCCCTTCTTCGCTCACTCAAGGACTCTCCAGGGGTGCTTCCAGTGTTGAAGGACTTTCCAGGGGCACTTCTGGCATGCGTTCTGCAACTCACATTGGAAGCTGCTGGCCATTTGTGAGGCTTTCTCCTTCCTCCTGCAGAGCCTTCCTCTTGCAAAGCCCCAGAACGGCAGTGCAAAGGGGGCATGGTGCGTGCAAGTGAGCAAAGAGGGAAGGAGGGCGCTGGTGCATGTGAGCAAGTGAAGGAGGGTGCAGTGCGTGCATGTGAGTGAAGGGGGAAGGAGGGCGCTGGTGCATGCAAGCAAGTGGAGGGAAGGAGGGTGTGGTGCTGTGAGCGAAGGGGAAGGAGGGGACAGTGTGTGTGAGCAAAGGGGGGAAGGAGGGTATGGTGCATAGGAGCAAAGGGCTGGGGTGGGTGGGGGAGATTTACCCGAGCAACTTGCGAGCTCCTCTGCCAGCTTCCCCAGTGACTTTGCTTGTGGGAAGCCAGCAGGGAAGGTTGCAGATGGCAATTGTGTGATCACAGGGTGCCTGGCAACTGGTTATAAGTGCGAATGGGTTGCCAAGTGCCCAGATCGTTATCACGTGACTGTGGGGATGCTTTAATGGCCATAACTTCGGGGACCAGTCATATGTCCATTTTTTCAGCACTGTTGTAACTTCAAACAGTCGCTGAACAAATAGTTGTAACTTGAAGACTACCTGTACTGTAAATACTGGATATTCCCATTTATAGTATTAAATGCTAATTTTCTTTAATACTTTTCAGAATACAGTCAGCTTAGCACATAAACTTTTCCTAGTTTATTTTAAAAAATGTTTTTCAATATTTTTGTTTTATGCCTATGTATATATTTATTTGTTTTTCAGGTGGATATTTTGCATGATATGATTGGCTCTAAACTAGCCAGTCCACAGTAGTTTTTTTACAGAAATATTCAATAAAAGTGGAGGTGATGTCAAAAATGTGGCATTTAATGGCGCATCACAGAAAAATGTAATTATTAAATATGTATGTGCTTCTGTATGTCTGTCTGTGTGTTTATGTGCATATTATATATGGAAACCAATCTGTTGTGAATGTTTTGAAAAGCCCCTAAATGTTTATACGGAAAGTACTAATAATTGATTACAGATAGTCCTCGGTTAACAACCGTAATTGGGACCGGGAACTCCTTCACTAAGTGACGCAGTCATAAAGTGTGAAATCACATGACTGTGCCAACTTATGAAAACAGTTCCAACAGTTCCAGTTGCAGTCATTACATGTGACATCACATGAACACCATTTGCAATCTCCTGCCTGCTTCCCTGTTGACTTTGCTTATTGGAAGCTCTCAGTGAAGGTCACAAATGGCAATCACATGACCCCAGGACACAGTGACCATTGTAATTGCAAGCCAGTTGCCAATCACCTGAATTGCAATCATGTGACCACAGGGACACTGCAATGGACACAATTTTGAGGACTGGCCATAAGTCTCCATGTTCAGCATTGTCGCAACTTCAAATAGTCATGAATGATTGGTCATTAACCAAAGACTACCTGTACAAACAAACACAAGCATGCAAACACATACAATGCAAGATACTATTTTTTGCTATGAATGACATCCAGGAGAAGGAAGGTCATTGTTTAAATTACACCCTGGATTCAGGAGTGTTTTTGTTGATGCTATTCTAATATTTCTAAAGTTATTGAAAAAGATGGGATGTTAGGAAAAAGACAAAACCCACATTTTCTTCCAAAGGTAGTTTAGATTCACATTGGTATTGATCAGCTAGCATCAAAGGAAGGGAGGCCAATTTATAATTTGGTCATATAAATATATCAGTATTTGGTCTGGAATGCTGCTGTTCCTCCAGACTTTCATGAGAGTTTCATGAGAAGCAGCACTGGACACTGGAAAGGGAAGGGGCAATTGGTGAACATGTTCTCCTTCCCCTTCTCCAGCACAGAGCCTCCACTGATCTTGACAGAGTTTGCAATTAAAAGGAAACCTGTTCAGCGAGCAACCCAGTCATATGTAAGATATATGACTTTTCCATTTTTAACTGATTTAAAAGTTCTACTTTATTGAATTAAATCTTATATAAGCTGGGGAGCTGTCACACATGAATATTATAATTTTTAAACAACTGTACCATCAAATTGGCTTCCTGAGCATGGCAACAAGTGCTGAATGTTTAAACAGGTCAAATTATAAACTGGTTAGAAGGCATTAACACCTATCTCTAGGTGCAGTTTACACATTTTTATGTGACAAACTGTTTCCTGTTATGTTTCTAAAGATGGCATCCATTAGAGTGAACAGTATGTTAATCATTATCCTCCTAAAAGTGACAAAAGGATGTGTCCTTTCTTTTAAAGAGCAGATATAGATTGTTTTTATTTGTTGGTTCTACTAAAGAACTGAATATTTTTAATGCTTTTGTAACCTGCAAAATGTCATCAAGGTTAACAGTATCCTGCATCAAAGTTAACAGTAGCCAACACTTTATTTCTTGAAGTTGGAGAATATGTGTGATGTAAGGAATCAATAAGTTTCTTTATATTATAGCTACTATGGATATCAAAGCATAAATAGATGAGCAACTAATCTTTTTATTAGAAAGAAACCTATGCATTTAAAATATTTATAGCCTGGCCACTATTCAAGGGATTTTGGAGCAAGGTACTTTCTTCCTAGTACAATGGTAATCTCAAATTAACTTTTAGTGGACATTCATAAGGGTTTGAGATGGCAGAGGCCTCATAAAAAGTGAGTGCTATGTGCCCACCTCTGACCTACAAAAACATTATCATCATAAAAATTAAAAAAGCCATCTAACAAATTCTTTAAAATCTCCATACCCAAACTATTTAATGTGTAAGAAACTACAATTAAAATTGATCAAACAATCCAGATCAGAATGTCAAAGGAAAAATGAAGAGGACATACATTTGCATACCGACAGGGTACTTTTCTTAATGATAGAAGCTTCTCTGAGCTGTCGTGCTTTATAACAGAAAAGATAGAGGTGCTATTTTTTTTCCAAAGGGAGAAAAATAGCTTGGATTGCACTCCAACCTGCAATTTTGTGAGCTCCTTTGTTTTTGTTTAAAGATATACACAAAGTAACATAGCTGAAGATCACCTGTGTTCCCTGATGCTGTGCTTAGCAGGGATTTCTGTGGTTGTACTTGGGAATTGTTCTGCTGTTCCTGCTCCAATATTGCACCCTGCATAATTTTCTACAGGTAGACTGGAAATGGGCTGTAAAGGGCTCTCCTAGCATGGTATCGTACTGTTCTAAGAGCTACTAGCCTCACAACAGTATTCGCCTTGTGTCTATTTCTTTTGTTTCTAATGATGGAGATAGAGTCCTTGGAAAGGACAAAAGCTAGGAAGCTTAACTCACTTTTCAAGATCAGGCAATCAAAGATGATTGTATTAGTACTGATGCAGGCATGTGGGGGCAGCTGCTAAAACATTTTTCATGAAGTCCCAATGCAAGGTCTGCGGCTAACATACTTTGTGTGGACATCAGGATGCAAGTATATAGGGTGGGGTTTGAGTTAGGATGTCATCATGCATGTCATTTTTCTATCATTGTGGCTAGCTGTGGACATCTATGAGTGCTGACAAGAGTTAATTTTATTATCATGATCAACTTAATTGCTTTTTGTAATTGTGAACAAGTGTGCTCACAGTTACTTTAGTTTTGCTTACACATGCAAGCTGAAGCAAGAAATTTTTATGATATGAAATCTTTTCCTCTCGGTTTCAACTCTCTGCATCCTCCTATTTCATCCTCGCCAGGTGAAATCCATAGTTTCCAAAATGGACATTGTTATCTTAAAACAGATTGTATAAGAGTACAGTAGAAACGTATAGAAAAGCAAATCAAAATACAAAATTATAATCTCCCATTCCAAAATAACTCATTGATGGTTTCCAAAATCTGTTCAAAATATAAATACGACCATTTTAAAAAAAGAAAAAGAACAGTAGCTGTTGAACAAGTACATATATGATTATAGCAAAATTGGGAAAATTCCGGGAATCCAAGAATTCTGCTAAGTGTTCCAAAGCAATCTGGAATGTGCTTGCTAGTTAAGTTACTCCACTACTTAAAAATTATAGCAGCCACAGTAACTTGCAATTAGTTAAATATTACAAGTAAAACTTTGGGATGTGGGGATGAAATGCACATTTGTAATATTGATCTAAGGTGGGAGAACTCTTTAAATGTTCTGGACTAGTGTGTGTGTTGCTGTTCTTGGCCAATATAGTAATATACTGAAACCTTAGTAACTATTTGCGAACACCCCAGGTGCATAACCTAAAGCACTTAAAGCTGTTACAAAACCATTTTACTAGTTTTGTCCACGTCATTCAACGAATAGCCCAGATGCATATAAATTGGTGCAGGGTCTTGGCATCAATCTCTAGTGGCCTTCTACTTCTTTCCTGCTCAGATTACTATGAGGTGTTTTACCTACAAAATGAAGGTGGTACTAGTAGGGCTGCTTTTCCTCTGTCTCATGGCCATACGTTCTGAAACAACTCCTGTTAAACTCTGCGGGAGAGAATTTGTCAGAGCTGTTGTCTTTGCTTGTGGAGGATCACGGTGGAGAAGACAACTGGATGAGCCTTTCTCAGAAGGGCTCATAGGTAAGCATATTAATTATAAATTGCCCAAATGTTCATAGTTTTGGCATGCAATTGATCATTACAATAAATTTACCATTATTTTTATTGTGCCATGGTTTAATATAAATATTTTAAAGATGAAGTATACAAAAAAGGCAATAAAATTAAGACTTATAAAACAGTGACTACTGTGAAGAAAACGTTACTCTCGGTTATCACCTGCCTTATTTTTATGTAAGGGGCACCAGCAGAGATTCTTAAATGGACAAGAGCTGGCAGTGCCCTTTCAAGTCTCTACGCCTCAAGCTGTGCAAGATTTGAAATGTGCTAGATAATACTGTGAACGGCACAGTGTGCACAGCATAGTACAGTTTAATCAGTTTTTAGATTTGTACATGTTATTTCTTAATGATAGTTGTTGGGATTATATTGTTTTAAGTATATAGATATAATTGTAGATTTTTGCAGTTACCTATCACTGTGACCTAAATTCAGAACTTCAAGGGAGTCTGTGCAGAGATATATTCTGGTGAATGAGGAAACTTTTCTTAAGTCCCACTGAAATCAGGTGCATGACCAAGATTACAAAGCTCACAAATCAGATTGCTTTTGATCTCTGCAGTTTTGAATACATAATTCCTATTCTGATTGGAGAAGCATTGGGAAGAAAATGTCTCTCTTTTCATTCTTTTGAAATGAAGTCAGCTTCAGCCTGGGATATATTTTTGGGGAAAGCAAAGCTTACTGAAAGTAATGCAAGTTGTTCCAGTATAAATTCTTAGACTAAAGCTTCCAGGTTTATCTTCTAATTGTTAACAATACAGATTGTACATGTACAGGAAAATTAAAAACAAAAATTAAAAAACCGATCAGCCTTTATTTGGTAAGAGTTTGTTTTGATTTTAGATTTGTGAAGATAAAATCTGAATTTGCTTGTCTCTCATTTTCACACAATGGAACAAGAAAGGCATACACATTTATTATTTAATATCACTCAACAGGTGCAAATGGAAATTACATTGAGAAGTCGAAATCCCAAAGCAATGAATTCATCCAATACAACATGGAGTCTGAGCAAGCTTTGCGAGGCATGCAACAGAAGTCTGTGCACAAAAGAAGTGAGGATCTTACGCGGCTTACGGTCACTTGCTGTACTGTTGGATGCAGTGCAAACAGTATAAGTTCACTGTGCTAAAAATGTAAGATGCTGCCATGGAAGCTTATCAAAATAAGACACATTATGTCTAGAATACATCATTTCCAAATCTTTTCTGTCCCACTTTGTATCTCCCAACTCTGCAGACCTTCCTAGCTGCCATTCCGCTTAGGATGTTGCACAAATTGGAAATATTTTTAAACACTCGTGTATCAGCCATGTGAAGCAATCTGCTTTTCTTTATTCCCTAATTTTGAAATAAATGTGCAGTTCACTAAACTGGTTTCCCCTGTTCTTGTCAATCCATAAGAATAGTATTGGGCTTGCAAGTTTAAAAAAATCTGAGTGTGAACATTTTGCACTTTCTTAGGAAGTTAAAGGAGCAGTTTGGAAGAATGGCTATAGCACAGTGGTTCAGCACATGCTTTGCATGTAAGAATGAGCTTCAGTCCTTGATAAGGCTGGTACAGACCTTGTCTGAAATCCTGGAATGATGCTGACTGCCAGAAGACACAATATTGATCTAGATAGTTCAGTGTTTACTATGCTAATTACTTTTGCCTGGAGCGATCTCAAGATAAATGTGCTTCTGAGGTTTTTGCGACGAAACTTGCAAATAGTGATGTTAAATACTTGGTGGAGGACAAAAAATCTATTTTGGGGGAGGAGTGTGGCAAAGAGAATGTTGCAATTTTTTTTCAAAGATGGGAAAAGGCCTATCAACTCTCTTGGTTGAAAGAAGTTTGGTTTCAAGAAATACTCAGTGCTCCAGAACAGCTGCAACTGGCAGCCAGATGGGCTACATATTTCACTATATGTAGCCCATTTGGTTGCCAGTATATATTCACTATATATAACACACTACTTTGGGCTCATAGTATCATTCCAGATGCATTTTAGGGGGAGAAATGTTGCCTCCATTGGCCTAGTGATTTCAGATGATGACTCTGACGTCACTACTCATAAGCAACACAAGTTTTGTGACTGTCTGCCTTACTGTGATTCCAACATTTCATGTATATCAAATTTAAATCAGCTTCAAATCAGTTGCTATAGTCTGGGATACTTATTCTGTGTGTCCTGATCTTTTAAAATGATGTATTTATTAATGGGAAAACGTAAACACAAATAACCACAAGATAGCCATAAATGGTTCCTTGGCATTCTTTATTTCAAATTGAATCTTTAGATTTCTTTTCTTAAAACTTTAGCCACTTTATCAGTTCAATAAATTTAACAAGTGATTTTTTAACATTTTTTTCTCTATATTATTTAGTTTCAGTTACTGGATAAGCTGCCTCTTAGGAAGTAGACTGCTCCTTTACCTAGTCATGTCCATACCTAACCATTTTACAAAAAGAAAAGGAACAACATTTTAATTACATGTAGTCCTCGACTTATGACCATTTGTTCAGCAGCTGTTCGAATTATGACAGTGCTGAAATAAAGGACTTATGACCCGTATCCAAAGTTATGGCTGTTGCAGCGCCCGTGGTCATGTGATCAATATTCGGGTGCTTGGCAGCCCACCTGCACTTACAACCCCCCACCCGCTTATCTCCCCCATCTATGCCGTTTTGGCCCCCTGCTTCCATGTGCTCTGCTGCCCCAGCTGACCTTTGCCATCTTCTCACTCCTGCTGAGGCTAATGATGGCAACTGGGACTGCCAGGATTGTGGTTGCTAAGCAATGTGGCCACATGATGTCTCTCTTTACAACTGCATCACTTAGCAATGGAAATTCTGATCCCAGTTGTGGTCGTAAGTCAGGGACTGCCTGTACCTATTATCTAATGTGTACAGAATAGATCGTTTGCCATTGCCTTTCTATTAACACTTAAACATTTTTCTGAAATGGCTAAATTGCATTTCTAGTTAAAAGGATTAGGGTACCTTTTGAACTAATTACTTTAATAAGTACAAACAAATCTGCTTATTACACTTATTATACACCAATCATTATTCAAAAATGTAAATATAGGTAATTAGATCTCATATTCATACCTATTATCCTATCACAGGTATAATATCAGGGATACCAAATCTTCTCCTGGTAATGTACAATGATGCTTAAAAGTTTGTGAATTTTTAATATTTCTGCATAAATATGACCTAAAATGTGAACTGTTCTCCACGCATCCTAAAACTAGATAAAGAGAACCCAATTAAACAAATGAATCAAGACCATTATACTTGTTCATTTATTTATTGAGGAAAAGGATACAAAACTACATATTTATGTCATGTTAATGCAGAAATATTGAAAAATCAAAAGGATCGCATACTTTTAAGCACCACTGTATTCCAGACCAGATAGTATAGTTCTACGCCAGTAGTTGGACTTACAACACTGGCATCTCAAAAAGTGATTATTAATATTTTTGTCCACAATAATAGACTGTTTAGCAAACATAGAATTTCATGCACATTGATTCATTAGTGCAACCTACAATCATGTAAATGTGCACAGGACTGTAATTCAAAAATAGGATCTAATTTGTTTTTCAGCTCACATTTTTCACATCGTCATTCAGAATAAAGTGCATAGACATTTGCAAGAGCAAACAGTGATCTATTTTTAAAGGAGTATGAAGAAAAGGTATCACTTGTAGTGTCCCAAAGGCACCTGCTTCCAATCTGCATGCTTTGTTTATGTAGCTGTCCAATATATATAATCACAATAATTTTATATCTTGGTATCATCAGGTCTTTTATCCGAGCTTTTATTACCTAAGGGGAAAAATATACTTACTTAAACTCTCAATTACTGTTAAGAAGTCCTCAGACTAGAGTACAAATCTGCTTAAGTATTTAATCATTTCATTCTGATTACAATAATGCATTTTTAAATTGGTTTTATTATTCCAAATGATTTAGAAAATCAAGTATAATTGGTTAAAAGTCACAAAAGCTGATTCAACAGTTATTCAGGGGAACTTATAAACAATTATAAATTCCTAAGTTATAAACAGGGTCATAAAGTGCTGACCTTCAACTGATCCCTCCAACAGCAGTGATATCACACTTAATATTATGGGAAATATACAGAGGCATATAACAGAGAAAAAGTACATTCTGAATAGCCTGAAAAGTTGTTTGCAATTTCTTTTCTATTTTATAAAAGAACAGTAAGTACCAATAGGAGCTTCTCAAGAAGTCACCTGAGATATAAAGTCATAGCTGAAAAAAGTTGTTTATTCAAACAAGTCCTAACATATAGGCTAATAATCATTATCAAATATTTTTACAGATACCTTAATATTTCACTCTTAATGTCTCACCGTTGAACTCCTGGTGCTGAAAAACAGTTGAAACTTCCTTCAAATTAAGTTTAAGATAGGCTCCCTCCAATCTACACTGTGGGTTTTCTATAAGATCTATTCCAATACTGATTTTTAATTCTTACTTCAGTGGTAATTTTGTACCTCAGATATAGTTTTTGTCATTTGCCTGCACAACTCTGCTTCATATTGTTCTTCCTGTAGATAACTTATTACTACATCCTTCAAGATATTATTCACAGCTGTGACTGGAAAATACTTTGTAGGACCTGAGAAGTAGAGAGAATACATAGCATTATTCCAGAAGGCTCTAATGTGAAAAGAAAATATTGGTATCCATTACAGTGATTATAAAGAAGAACCAGCAAAAGCAAATTTATTTAATTCATGTTCTTCCTTTCTACTCAAATTAAAAGGTGGATAACAATTAAAATAGATAATAGAAAACATGTATAAATTGAGTTTAATATTAATCAGCAGTTAACATTTTAACAAAAGAGATCCTTCTTTACAAATTTGCTAAACATAGAGAAAATAGAGGGCTAATATAATTCCCAAGGAAGTGGATTCTATAGCCTGAAAAGATGCAGGAATAAGGCCCTCTTGCACATGCAAGTTTAGCGATCTTTGGAAAAGGGGAATCTTCAGAAGGGCCTCTCCTCTTAATGCCTGAACAGATTTACAATCAGAGAGGTTGTCCTCCAGACAGTTGGTTTAGAGCGGGGGTTCTTAACCTTTTTGTGTCATGGACCTCTGAGAGTCTGGTGAAACCTGCAGACCACTTCTCAGAAAAATGTATTTAAATGATTAAAATAAAATACATGGTATAGATTGTATTACAAAGAACAGTAATGATGCTCAAATACAGTTAAAATATTTAAAAATAACTAATATGTAATATAGTAATATACGTGGTTCTTCATTAATCTGTTAAAAGCAAGACAATAAATACATTTAAAAGATAGGCAATAAAATTTTTATTTTTTAAAAAACATTTCAGTGCCAAGATTGTTGTTTAGCTTGAATAAGAAAAGTAAATTGTGACAAGGCAACATGCATGTCACGTTGAATATCCATTTGATTTTGATTTTTTGTTTTGAAAGTTACAAATGTTGAAAATCATTATTATTATAGGGTATAATTTAGATAGTGAGATTTATTGAAGTTAACAAACACTTTTGAAGTCTAGAGGCTATAGATTACTTTGTTATCTACATTATCAAATGAAAAGCTACATTTTAGTTAGAGATTAGTCAGAATAAAGTTGTAATTTCTTATCCATCCATGTTCATGGACTTCCTGAAATCTATCCATGGATCCCAGGTTAACAACCCCTGGTTTAGAGCCCTAAAGATCAATTCCAGTGCCTTAAACTGTGCCTGGCAAGAAACTGGCAACCAGTACAGATCTTTCAACATAGCAACCTAGATTCTGTTCTGCACATATTGCAATTTCCAAACATTTTTACAAGGGAAGCCCCCCATAAAACATATTCCAATAGTCAACCGGGATGTAATCCCCACATGGATAAGTGTTGTCAGGAATGGTTGCAGCTGGCACACTCGCTATAATTGTGCAAACATGCTCCTTGCCACAGATGCCATCTGTAAATCTAATGAAAACTGAAGATCAAGACATATTCCCAGGTTGTGGATCTGCTCTTCTGGGAGAGTACAATCCCATCCAAAACAGACACCACCTCAGTCCCTAAGGCATTTCCTATTTACCATCAGCATTCCTATCTTGTTAAAATTTAATTTCAACTTGTTTCCCCCATTCATCCCATTATCAAACTCAGAAAATAGGTTTTTTGGAATTGGGTAGAAAAGAACAGTTATGCTGGGTATTGTTGACATACTGATGGCACCTCATTCCAAAGCTCTAATCTCCCAAGTGATTGCATGTAGATGTTGAACAGGACTCGATGTAATGCTTTGAGACAAAATAGGTAATGATCTATGATTTCGAATGGTAGTTCCCTAGCCCTTCCTTCTCAAAACCAACCAACCAACCAACCAATAGAAAGGAGTTACACTGCAGAACTGTTGCATGCTGGAATTATTTGGAGCTACATATTTTGCTAGCAGCTTTCTGTGTTAAAAGTGCTTTTTGCTAGTCCCTCAGGTTGGATGGCAACTCTATGTTTTAATGAGCATCTCTCTGAAATTTTGAATATGTGACTACGTTAAAGAAGAATGCATATTTTTAGTAACAGTGAATATCATTTTCCCACACTGGATTTAAATAGTATGAAACTGTTGATTTTACAAATGGATTGAATGACAGCATTTTTTATATAGGTTAAAGAACTATATTGTTTATGACTTAAAAATGAATCTTCCCTTTTTTAAAAAAAAAAATCTCTTTTCAAATTATTTTTAGTATAACCATAGATTTGTCAAGGTATGCTCCATAATAGTTTTGGGAGTTTTTTAAAATCTATTTCTTTATTTCCAAAGTATATGCATGGAATTATAATATGAAATAATTCCAAATTGACAAAAAATGTTTGGCAGCTCTGTACCAAAAAAGATTGTCTTTTGGAGATTATGAATGACTTACTGGCAATGTTTGAATGGAGTTATGAGCTAACATTTCCTTCCAGCAGATAATTTTCTACATTGTATTCTTTATCTGTACTATATCTATGTTTTCCATTCCCACTCAATTTGAAGCAGCAATAGAAGTTTATTTTGCACTAAACTGTTTTTTATCCTGCTGAAATTACCAACAAAAGATAAAGCCCATCTTAAGGACATTACTATTAAGTATAATGTATGATTCCAATTCCATTTCCACCCTCAAGTCCTGCCATGCTACATCATCATACTAGGTGGGGTATCCTGGGAGAGATGCGCAAAGAATGCCTGGGGGAACGCTAAGAGGATATACGCCCAGCAGGATCACTCAAGGCACGAAGCTCATCCCAGCTCCCCAGCTAAAGCGAGCAGGCACCTATATCAGGCAGCAGTGATGTAGGAAGATGCTCAAGGCAGATAATCACTTTAGAGGTTGATGAGCTTGACACTCAAATTTAACCTGAAATTGACAGAACATGCAAGCAAAATATACTGCTTGTGATTGGAGACTGGAATGTTGGAAACAGGATGGAATAGAAGAAAACAGGATGGCCTAGAAGCAGGACAATGATATCTGGTTATATAATACCTAGGATCCTCCTACTCCTAGGTGCCATCACCTTTATTAAAGAAACCTGTTAGGCCATCATCCTCAGTTTTCCATCAGTCTAGCCCTAGAGAAGATAGCAAGTCCTAAACATCTTCCATGTGGGACTGGACTATCAATATAAAAATTAAACTTACCTAATTGGTATGTGTTCTCCATCTGAATAGCTGGACGCAGACTATCCTCATGGTGGCCAGTTTCATCCATATATGACACTGTACTTATAGAGCTAAACATAGTAACCAACAATAACTGCATTCATTGCCATATTAATAAAAAATTAATAACCTGTGAAGTACCATCAAGGAGTGCAGGAACTACTCAAGCAGGGATTCTTGATATGTTAAGCCCCATTGATTTTGTAATGCACCATTTTTAGGAAGACCTATTACGTATAGCCTTGATATAATAATTGCCTCCATACCTGGGGAGGTACATGGGGTGTGTGCATATGGGCCAGATGAAAGTCCTTCAGAATTATTGCCTCCACCCTTCAGAACAACCTCCTCTAGAAGTGTGGGCAGGTTCTGCCTTGTTAGTATTTTGAATATTTTGTAAAGAAGTAAAAGCCATGCTATTTCACTGAATTTTGGCCCTAGTTGATTTGATTGATGGCATCTATCACAGGTTTTGAATTAGAAGAATTTAGTCTCATGCTCATTTGTAAATTTTGCTTTTATGTTGCTGTATGCTGCCCAGAGTCCTTCAAGATTGGGATGGGTTTTAAATATTGTTAACATAATCATTCAATAAATCAGAGGTAGGCAATGTTTATTCTTCCATATGCTGTTGAGCCGCAATACCTGTTATCTTTCACTGGTGATCACCCTGACTTGTAAGACGAGTTCAACAATATTGAGAGGCCATAATAGATAATATTCACAGATAAGCAACATCAGAGAAATTGGCAGAGTTCAAATCATTTTCTGCAGTACTACTGGCTACCTAAACATTTAAACAAATCAGGCAGCGCTATTAATCTGGGTATTATGTTCACCTACTTGGAAATGAATACAACTAGTGGTAATAATTCCTCAGTATTTATGCATAGGACTGTGGGCTGCAAGCTCACTTGTGTCCTTTGTCAAGATATTGTTGTTCCAAAGAACCAGAGCAGTAGAAGGGTCTTTAAAGATAATCCATTTCCCTGTTCAATACAGCATCGCAATGTAGGATGCTTCTATGGCTTCACTTAAAGGAAGCTCTTCAATCTCTGTTAAATACTTCCAGTGAAGAAATCTCCACCATCTCACAAAGAAGTCTATTCTACTGCCAAACAGTTCTCAGGAGGACATTTCTAATGTTTAGCCAAAATATGCTTCCCACCATTTCTACCCAACAATCTTTATCTTACCCTCTAGAGCAGTGTTTCTCAACCTTAGCAACTTTAAGAAGTGTGGACTTCAACTCCCAGAATTCCCCAGATGCTGGCTGGGGAATTCTGGGAGTTAAAGTCCAGACATAGTAAAGTTGCTGAGGTTAAGGAACACTGTTCTAGAGCAACTCTGACATGCTCTATTCTTTGCATGACAGCCTTTTATTTATTTGAAAATTGCCATCCTGATTCCCTTCCATTCTTCCCATTTCCTCTTTTTTTCCAGTCTCCTTCTGCTACAGGAGTGGGATTTCTGTGCATGCCCCATTATGGCAGAACTGCATGCTATGAAGCAAATGTAGAATCCCACATCATTCTCTCTATTCAATACGGCTCTCAGGACAGGACAGCTTCTAAAAAATGCAGGAATTCTCAACTATCACTAGGCATTCCCATGGCTAAATATAAAATAATTTTAATCTCATTGTACCCAACAGAGCTACCAACGAATTAACAGTATGAAACATCAGAAAATATAACACTGCTACTTACTCTTTGTTTCTTCCAAAGAACTCTTTTGCTCTGATTTCATGGCTTCCCAAAGAAGATATGCTGCCTCTGTTCTTGGCCAAGTGGGTGGCTTTATCCTTCATGATCTCTGACATATCTACTAGACAGGAATTACATTGTTAAACCTAATATTGAGCTGAAAAGATGTTGGCAGCTGATAAGTGAATGCCCATTTTACATAACCAAGTAATTGAAGAGGCAGTTATAAATATACATTGCAACAGCCCTTTAACTTATGGATTTTTTTCTTTTGCATTGTAAAGTGGAACTGAGAACCACCTATGATCACCAGAAGTAGATTAACAGCACCATTACAAGCAAGATTCACAACTCTGCAGTCAAAATGACAGGAAAAGGGCACTAACAAGAATCAAGAGTACTTCAGAGAAGGTTGTTATGGTGTAATTCAGGGAATCGGAATCTACACTTATTAGCATGGCCAATGGTATGGGGTCCTAGGAGTTGAAGTTCAGGAAAATCTGGTGGTCCTCAGGTTTTCTAACTTTGGAGTAATTGTTCTGCTGCATTAATTTAAGGAATGTAATAGGATGGCACTCTCCTGACCCTCCATCTTTCACTGGTAACTTCTTATGTTTTCTGACGCTTCTGCCTTGTTTTCTTCTCAAACTCCATTAAGGCAGGGAAGAGGAAATTCTTTTGGCTAGAGTGCCAGGAGAGACCTAATCCACCTATTGTTTCTTTACAACTTCTGGATAACTTAGAACTTTCTATGATATGGTCTATGTGTACAAATTGCAGCCATATAAAACAGCTCTGGGGCAAAAAGAAAAGGCATCCAAAATTTAACAGAAGTGTTAACAAGAAGGCTCAGATATGAAGTTTGCTCTCCATCTATAGATAACATCAGTGATACAATTAACTCATTTTGCTTCCTGGTGGGACAAGTGCCCTCTTCAACAGGTATGACAGAAAGAAAATCCAACAACTGACAATTACTTTAAATCAGCAACATCATCTGGGGAAAACCCACATCCAGTTATACTTCTATCATACATTCAGTGTTATCAAGGGCCTTTTAATACTATAGGAAGGCCATAAGATGAACATTCAACTCATGCTCCATCCCACAAACTCTACTTTCTTCTCAGGAACCCTAACCCTATCGATTTTTCCCTTCTGTTTTTGTCCATCGAAGTCAATGGCTCAAAAACTGTGAAAGCATGGAGAAAACCAAAATCTTGACATAAACACGTAGTAAGTTTAATGCCTATTAAAATGAAATCGGCGATCCCTGTAATTATTTCAAGTACTATATTCTCTTTTGAATGAAATCCCCAACCATGTCTGGAGTCCGCAAAAGTAAAAAGGTAACGCTTCCTCCCAGTCGGGTCCAACTTCTACCGATTGCCTGGAGAGATCTAGGTGTTTTCGTGGAAACAGTACAGAGGTTTGCCATTGCTCTAATCTAGGACGTTTTTCAGTTTTCGAACTTGTGCGTAATTGCGCCAAGCCAACCCAAACCAGCGTCAACGAAAGCATAGTTTACCAAATTAACCTGATTCCGGGGTTCTCGCAACAATGAACAACAGCTTCCCTCCCAGAGTCCGCGAGATGCCTACCCAACTACGCCATATCTCGGCTGCAAATATCCGAACGACCACTAAGTGGCAGCAAAGTGAGAAACCAAATTTACTCCGTGCTGCATTTGCTGGGTATCCGGAAGTTTGCACCCGAGATAGGGTAGCCGCGGTTCTTACCGCTCTCGCTACAGCAGCCTGGCAAAGCCGGAGATGTTGCTGGTTTCCAGGGCGACAACTCAGTCCCAGGATGGCTGAGAATGAAGGGCGGCCCCAGCGTTGCCCCCGCCTCCAAGAGCAGCCGTGCAGGAGGGGAGCGGAACGACTCGCGGCGGGGGAAAGGAAGGCGAGCATTTGTGGCTTCGCACGCCCATCCGGAGGCGGAGGCTGCTTGCTGGCTGTGCGCAGCGTGCAAGAACGCGACTAAAGCACCAGCGCTGATCAGCCAAACAGGAGATTAGAGCGAGAGCCCCGCGCGCGCATCATCCACCCCTCCGGGCTCTTCCCGAGCGGCCTCTTTCGCCGGTCTGTTTCCCAAGCTGAGCGTAGGTTCCAACTCCCATTTTTTCTCCCCCTCGCGGAGCAGCTTCATTCGGAGCCTTGTGCTCTCGGAGTTCTGGTTGTGCTTCGAAAATGCCGGCGGGGCGAGGAAAGCGCAGCTGCCTGTGCCTTCCTCCAGGCTTCCCCGAGCCGGTGGCCTCCAGGTACCTTGGAGTTCAACTCCCCTAATTCCTCAGCCAGCAGCCTTTTGGCCACCCCTGCGACTATGTGGGTTGAGGAAAGCTGCTTAGTACTTTACTGGCGACCTTGGCTTCCTGGGGATATGGAGTGACAGCATTTGGCTAATAACTGGTCAAGTCAGGCTCTAGTTCAGTGTTTCTCAACTATGGGCACTTTAAGATGTGTGGACTTCAACTCCCAGAATTCCCCAGCCAGCATGGCTGGCTGGGGAATTC